GCATCTGGCTCAACTTGAGGTGGAGCTTGGAAAGATTAGGTGGCACATATTGGGATTGTGTGAAGTCCGAAGAGAGGGGGAGGATACCATAACCCTCGAATCAGGCCACCTAATGTACTTCCGCGAGGGAGACCAACAATCCCAAGGTGGCGTTGGGTTTCTTGTCAATAAGTCCCTTTCTGACAACGTTGTAGAAATTTCCAGTGTGTCGAACAGGGTGGCGTACCTGATTGTAAAGCTCACTGAGAGGTATAGCCTCAAGGTTGTTCAAGTGTACCGACCTCGACACACTCGGACGATGAAGTGGAGAATATGTACGATGATATATCGAGGGCACTCCACTTCACTACTAAGACCCACTACAGCGTTGTTATGGGGGACTTTAACGCTAAAGTAGGAGTACAAAATTGCGGCGAATCGGTAGTAGGATCCCATGGATTTGGAAGCAGGAATGATAGGGGGCAAATGCTCGTTAACTTCCTCGAACGGGAGGGGCTCTTCCTTATGAACTCGTTCTTTAAGAAACAGCCCCAAAAAAATCAAAATCAAAATCAAAATCATTTATTCAGTCTAGGCTGTTACAAGCACTTGTGAAAGTCGAGAGCTACGCCGACGGTTCGTAAATCTACGGCGGGAGACCTTGTACCGAGAAGAACCGGCAAGAAACTCGGCAAGGGCTGCTTTTTTCTCCCTGTTTTATTTCATACAGAGCGTCAAGATTGAAAAATGACTTCATTAAAATTTGAAGTCACTTTCCATTTCTTTCAAAGGAAGTGGACGTGGCAAAGCCCCGACAATGTGACAAAAAATGAGATCGACTTCATTATAACGGACAAAAAGCACGTATTCAGAGATGTCTCCGTGATCAATAGGTTTAACACCGGCAGCGATCACCGACTTGTCCGAGGCTCTCTGAATATCAACTTCAAAGCTGAACGTGTCCGCTTGATGAAGGCCAGGCTCCGACCTACTCCTCTCCAAACCATGATGGAATCTGAAACGTTTCAGTTAAATCTTGAGAACCGATTCGCTGCCATGGAAACCACAATTGACGTTGACGAGAACCTTGAAAATGTGGTTCGAATACTCAGGGAAGAAGGTACGAAATTTTGTAGCATGCAGCGTAAGGGCGGGAAGTCTAAGCTCTCCGATAGAACTTTGGGGCTAATGAAGGAACGACGTGAAACCCACCTGTCCCTTCGTCAAGAAAACGTGCTCAAAACCAGGAGATCAGCAAACGCGTACGATATGACCTCCGGTGCTCCAACACTCACGCTATAGAAAGAGCGATCGAGCAAAACAGGGGGTCAAAAGTATTCGTACAATCTCTTGGAAGAAGTCACTTGACGAAGTTGACCACAGCAAGCGGGGAAGTCGTTGCTTCGAAGCCAGCGGTCCTCTCGGAGGTGGAAAATTTCTATGCCCGGTTATACGCTTCGCATGCATCTCGACCTGATCCCGGAAATGAGGATTCTAGAGCCACATTAACACGCCACTACACCGAAGATCTGCCAGAAGTCAGCATTGGCGAAATCGAGATCGCTCTGAGACAGCTTAAAAATGGAAAAGCCCCTGGAGAGGATGGCATTACAACTGAATTATTAAAAGCAGGAGGTAAACCGGTACTGAAGGAGCTCCAAAAGCTTTTTAATGCTGTCCTCTTCGAAGGGAGAACTCCGCAGGCGTGGAGTAGGAGTGTTGTCGTCCTGTTCTTCAAAAAGGGAGACAAAACCCTGCTGAAGAACTATCGACCCATTTCCCTTCTAAGCCACGTCTATAAGCTGTTTTCTAGAGTAGTCACGAACCGTCTTGCGCAAAGACTTGACGAATTCCAACCACCGGAGCAGGCTGGGTTTCGGAGTGGATACGGCACCATAGACCACATCCACACAGTGCGGCAGATTATACAGAAGACTGAAGAGTATAATCAGCCCCTGTGTCTAGCATTTGTGGACTATGAGAAGGCCTTTGACTCGATTGAGATCTGGTCCGTTCTGGAGTCCCTGCAGCGATGCCAAGTCTAAGATAAGATGTATTTATGAGGCCGCCACCATGACCGTCCAAGTACAGAATCAGCAAACAAGTCCTATACCGTTGCATCGAGGAGTGAGACAAGGAGACGTTATGTCTCCGAAATTGTTTACTAATGCAATGGAGGATATGTTTAAGACGCTGAACTGGAAAGGACGTGGCATCAACATCACTGGCGAGTACATCTCTCACTTGAGATTTGCTGACGACATCGTCATCATGGCAGAAAATCTGCAGGACCTACAACAGATGCTAAATGACCTGGCTGACTCTTCTATGCGCATCGGCCTACGGATGAACTTGGATAAAACCAAGGTCATGTTCAACGAACACGTACTAACGGAACCGATTGCAGTATGCGGTGCCGTTCTCGGAATTGTTCCAAAATATGTATACCTCGGGCAAACATTGCAGTTAGGTAGAAACAACTTCGAGAGCGAGGTAAATGGAAGAGTTCGGCTAGGTTGGGCAGCGTTTGGGAAACTACGTCAGGTCTTTACATCGTCGGTCCTGCAGTGCCTAAAGACAAAAGTCTTTAATCAGTGCGTCCTACCCGTTATGACATACGGAGCCGAAATGTGGACACTGACGGCACGGCTGGTCCACAAGTTGAAGGTCGCTCAGCGCGCTATGGAAAGGGCTGCTCCATAGCGCTGCCCAACCTAGCCGAACTCTTCCATTTACCTCGCTCTCGAAGTTGTTTCTACCTAACTGCAATGTTTGCCCGAGGTATACATATTTTGGAACAATTCCGAGAACGGCACCGCATACTGCAATCGGTTCCGTTAGTACGTGTTCGTTGAACATGACCTTGGTTTTATCCAAGTTCATCCGTAGGCCGATGCGCATAGAAGAGTCAGCCAGGTCATTTAGCATCTGCGTTTCTCTGCGGGATCGAATCAAAAATGAGGTGATCCGGCAGAGAACCAAGGTTATCGACATAGCCCACCGGATTAGCAAGCTGAAGTGGCAGTGGGCTGGCCATATTAGCCGCAGGACCGATAACCGTTGGGGTAAACGAGTTCTTGAGTGGAGACCGCGTCTCGGCAAACGTAGTGTAGGACGTCCTCAGACGCGGTCGAGCGATGATTTGCGCAAGATAGCTGGCAGGAGCTGGATGCGAACAGCCGAAAATCGAAGTAGATGGCGTGCAATTGGGGAGGCCTATGTCCAGCAGTGGACGAATATGGGCTGATGATGATGATGATGAAATTTAGTAACAAACCAAGTTTCAATCATTACGAAACTCTTTTTCGCAGATCATTTTTTACACCAACTTCTGAGATTTTTCGCCGATTTTACTGTTAAAAATCACTTTAAATTCGTGTTACAATGGTACAGCACTAGGTACTGACCGATGAATACCCTTAATACTTTAAGATACTGCAATGTCAAGTTTACCTAAGTACTTGCACATTTTTGTCACGATCTCTTAGCCTTCAAGTGACTGCCGATGCAGCCGGATCAAAGTACCTTCTGGAGCACGGCGTAGCTCGAGATAGTAAATTTTTAGTTACTTATTATATGACCTATCCTTGGTAAAGTTGCCTTTCTTACACATCACAGACCGAACCCCCTAACCATTGTGCTAACCTCTTCACTATATTTGCCCAACAGTCCAATGTGTCAGTCATTTTTGAATTTGCAATTCAGCTGCCAAATAAGTTTCAATTCAATATTCTTAAATTTTTACGAGTTCATGGGTTGGCGAACCGTAGAAATTTGATATATTTTTAATGTCTTTTAATATTAGAAAAAATAGTCGTCATTAAGCGACAAGCTTTTAAATTCTGTATTAAAATGGTGAGTTATATTTATTTCGAAGATTGTTCTTTCAATTAAGATAATTTTCTATAAAAGAAATCGAATAATTTTAGTTTGCAGCCATAAAATTTTAAAGTAGATATTGAATAGCCAATGTGATGTCGAAAGAGGTTAAAAATCGGTCAAGCGCAGTTTGCACCAGTCAAGCTTTGAGCAAAAGGACCATTAAGAACGCCGAAGTGGTTCAGTGAAATAAAAAATAAATCACTTCTGCAGCGAGCGCGAGTATATTCTTTTTTCAAAACTCAAACTTTAAAAAGATGGGTGTCTGGTGAAGTCTGCTATACTATTATTTTCTGTGGTCAGTAACGTACATTACTTTTGTTATTATATTTTTATTTGTAAGAAAAGAGAGTTTTTGCTAGGAATTCCTTAAGTCTTAACGTTCGTTAATTTTATTGCTTAAGTAGGTATTGTTCATTTTAAGTGCTGAAGAATGTTGCCATGTCCTAGCAGGACGTCACATGTATCCTACCATAAATTATGTACCACCTCTTTGTTTGTAAGAATGTGACATGCAATAAAATAATTTGAATTTGAATAAGATGATTTTGTCTTAAATAAAATTCGGCTTGTATAGAAACCATTTACATTATTGCATTTTTATATTTTAGGTGTTGAAAATCAGCGTCAGCTTCATTGACAAATGCTGAACTAGATGCCTTTTTGACACAGGCTGGGATATTATTTTTTAATTTTAGTTTTAGCTTTTTTCTGTATGTTTGTTTTTATTCTACTATGTCCTATATCTGTGTTGAATAAATGTATTTGAATTTAGGAGTTTTATAAAGAATAAAGTGTCATACAAGTGAATGTCTCTAAAGTTTCGAGAAACATTTTCGGGGTGGGAAAGCGAAGATGTCAGTCAAATGGGGGTGCCGTTTTTGGGTGGCCTAAACGTTAAACGTTATCTGGACAAATTTCAAAACTTTTCGCTTTAAAATGAAATGTTTAAAGCTAGTTATTAACAAGAATATACTTATGATAACTTTCTACTAGGTACTATGATTTTATTTTTTATTTTAATTAATATACAGTAACTACATTTAAGTTGAGATATCAGGTGAATTGGTGAGAAATTAACAATATTTTCAAATGACTTTGACTATACCTATATGTGTAAGGTTATAAACTGTTTTGCTTACCTGATGTGTCCCAAACGGAATAGTTGACTCTGTAGTCAGCTACTGTACACGTATATCCATATTTCTCGAAGCCTGTCGGTGTATAAGCCTGTAACAAGATTAAAATGATTTAAAAATTATGTAATAAAATAAATAAGTAGATTTCGAGATTGCATTTAAATTGATTCTGAGAAAATAAATAAAATAAACTGTTACAAAATAGCTACTTCCTATAAATATAATAAAAACTGTATAAAAGTCAATTCGAATGTAGAATTTTAACATATGACGTAGGTATGTAGCGTATTTCGCATACATAACGAGTTATATAATTTTATTTCACCCGCATATCATATTTCCCACATAGCTCAAGATTTATTAAACTTGGAACATTCAACTCTCAAAGTTAACATAACTTTGGGTTAAGTTTTAATGTGAAACGTTTGTATCGGCTTAATATGAACTTCGCTCTAAGTATTCCGTATAAATGATTCATGAGAAAGTTTATTTTCTAAAATAATGAATGTCAAGTAACTAGCCTGGCTGCAGACGCAGCTTCTTATAGCGAGTTAAATCAACTGTGATGGTTTGTGTGTTTTAATTTAAAAGCGGTAGCGATTTCAATGTTTTTTTTTTGAAGAAAATAAAACATGAATCAAACAGCCACAAACTTTTCATGTCAGAGTAATATATTAAGTGACGAGTGTAATGTATACGAGTAATTAGAAATAACTAAAAGTATTTTAATTGTATTCACATATAAGTCACGTAGGTAGAACATATTAGATATTTCCAAATTATGAAATTCCACCAAATAATTAATAAAATCAAATAAATTTAATAAACGATGCCCCTTTAGTTATTAGTCGATAAGCAAATTGTTAGTTTTTCAAATTGGTGATACCGACGGGTCTCTTCGTGACGGTCCGTATACATTTCACTCGGTATTCATTAATGTTAATTCATATGAAAACATTCTATTGAACAAACTCTTTGGAAATCGTAAATAAGATCCCACCAAAATCATAACATGTACAAAAATGCTCAAGTCTCGCAACGCAATTCTTCTGCCGTAAACAGATATGAAATCATCGTAAACCTAGTCGATTAATGCTGTATCTATATATATTTCTGTGAGAGCATCTATCCAACCTTGTTATATATTTAAGAATACTTAGCGGACGCTGACAGTATCATAATTTAGATACCAACTTTTAAATCAATTAAAATTTAACCTACTTATGTGTTTGCCAAGTTTTGCTAAATCTCTGACAAGGTTGGATAGCTGCTTCTAAAAAATATATAATTTAAAATGAAAAATATAGAGTTTCTCTTAGGAGCTAATTAATGTTATATAGTGATATAAACCAGGCTTCTGATATCCAACCAATAACTATGATCCGTAAACTTATTAACGAGACGCTATTTTTTATACCATAGACCAATGTTTAAGTGCAATGTTCTGCAACTATAACCCGACCGTATATAGAGTGCTCTTAGAGAGAACCTTTATAGTAAATGGGTATCGGTAAAAAGACGCCAGCGAGAAGGGCTGTTAGATTTTGTTGGGTTTTAATGCTTCCCTTCCTGAATACGAACTACCTGATTTCTAGTCGGAGTAAATGTTGTAGTCCGAGTTTTACGTACAAAAAATATTACACGAATTTTTATAGAGAAAATTGTAACTAAAGTTGCTTCATTATGCTATAAATATTTTACCAGTGAGTTTTTTAAAACTTCTTAGAGTTGATGTATAGAAAAACGAATTTATACATACTTAGTATAAAATGTTTGAATCTTTATACTGTGACAGATGAGTGTTCAGCTGGTGGCTATTTTACTATTTTATAAATGTTTTACTAGTTTTAAAATCAAAACTGTTCTTCCGCTACATAGTATTATGTTTTTCTTCTAATATGAAAATAACTGGAAGAATTCTTCTAAATAACAAATTATTTTGACGAAATAGATAATTATCGTGTCGTCACGCCGAAGTAAACAAAATGGCGTAGTTATTTTGTTTTTCAGTAGATTTTGTTTTGTTAACTTTTTAATATTATCATCAAAAACAAAAAAAATAAAAGAAATATTTAATAAATAAAACTAAAAAAAACTACTTAAAATAATGTAAAGTAATACCATGACTTAGATTAGACCGCACAGCTATTAAAACGTAAGCTTTAATTGTGACTAACACAGGATACCTTCTATACAAGTGCACGCATTAGCCAACTTGAAACTCCAGTCACACATGCGTTCTCAGCCTTATTTGTAGGCGGTCTATAATGTTCAATCGACTTTTAAGGGCGGTTAATATTGAATTAACTACTTAAAACCTCGACTCGACTTCAATATACGGCCCTTAAGGTATTTTTTAAAGATAATTTCAAGATCGCTTTTATGACGACGGGTTTATTATTCTTTTTATTTACCTTCAAAAGCTTTTTCAATAAATCAAATCGAAATTTGTAATATCATTTCGTTTGTTTTAATAGCAGATTATGTAAAATGTAACATCAAAGCTTAAAATAAAACAAATTCGATAAAAGTACACAAAGCAACATGAAAGCAGTCAGTTGAGAGCTCATAAAGTTATGCTAAAATATTCCTCTTTTTTATATCTTCATATTTCGCTTCGGTAATGGTACCGAGGTGGCTTTATATTGAATGGTTTATTTTAATACTATCGTTAAAATGTTGAATAACTAACTAAGAATAAATATATACAGACATTTCAAGATTTGCGTTTTAATAATTCTTTTAAAACGGAATACTATTATATCTAGCCACATCTAGGAAATATTAATGATGGCAGCTGATGGATGGGATTCTTGAGTTTTCAGATTTACACGGAAAACAAAAACATCTTCTTCAAAAATTAATGAGTAGCTTAACTTAAATCGAGGTATGAAAAATATCTAAAGGTGTAAAAAGCCATCTTCGAACCAATATGTCTTCGCTTACGTGTTGTGTCAGTAGCACTGGTGAGGTGTAAGTAGGTGCAATATTTTTATTGTAACGACCGCTGTTGGTCGCTGCTGGGACATTTGAGGGGCAACACGAGACTTGGCGCCAGAACTATATGATAGCTGGATTCACTTTTAAAATACAGGTTAAGGAGTTTATTTATTAGGCCATCTTTCCTAGTGCCTTCAAGAAAAGCATTTTTTTTATTAGACATTAAGCTAGGCATTAAAAAAATATATTGTGCATAATGCAGCATCTAAAAATCATATGAGATTTTATGAATAATGACTAGAAACTTTTTTTTTATTTTTTGTTCGCCTTAGTTCTTAATTTTTTATAAGAATATGCTCGGTAAAAACATTTTCTGAAGTTGAGGACGTTGTTGACAGTAAGTTTTGGTTCATAAAAGTGGTGTTATATTGTGGGACAAATATGACAACCTAGTTCAGTGAAATGTCACCTATAGTGTAGTGTAAACAGGAAATATGTTTCATGAATTCAAGCCAGAAAAGAGAATGCGTCAACTCATTCTCATGGATGTAGATATTTATGTTCCTGTATTCAAATTTGATAGACACAAAAGCTCCTAACAATTCTAAACAGTGACACGTCGCTGTATTAATGAAACCAGAAGGAAGATATGATCTTAACAGAAATGGCTGTTGCACACTATCCCTTGGCTTTTAACTTAACACTTTACTTTAACACAAATATTAGAGAACATGGTAGAAATGAAATGGTGCTAGAGATAAAAAAAAGAAGAAAAGATTAGGCTTTGCCTTATAAAAGAAAATAATAAAGAATATAACCCAAGATTCGGCTGTATGAATTAGTTCCTTCCCCTGTCCTTTGGACAAAACTACTACCATAGATATATTTAAAGGAAAGGATCATTCTAGCTTTGTAAAAGAGGTGGCATTTTGTAAAACAAAGTATAATTTTAGTGAACAAAAAAGTCTAGGACAAAATTGTTACAAACTTCATATTCTATAATACTTAAATGTTATAACATCATTGGATTTATAATCGATTTCATCACAACCTTGAATAACTTATAAAGCAGACACAAGAACATTTAGAATGTCAAAAATAAATTATCTATCATTCCGTGGTTGAATGAGCCCTTTTTGTGCTTATTTAACTGAGCTACTATTTCTTAACAGAATTACAGTGCATTGAATTTACCGTTTGCTCATGTAGACAGTGAAACGAGTGTCACATCTAGTATAAAGTACGGCACGACTGAAACAGGGTGACTTGACAAGTAGCGAACATAAATTTTACTTCTCAGACAAGGGATATCCGAGGTAGGTGTATCATAAAGTTGACACAGCGTTTTGGTGGCAAATGGGCGTTGTCAGTTCCGTAACTTTCGACCTCACAGTCAATAACGTATTCATAATATCGAATATTCGAAAAATCAATGCAATTATTGAAACATCATTGGAAAAAACTGGCCAAGTCTTGCAGACTGGCTTGTGTATGAATAGTTCCGTATCATTATCCATAAAACATCAAAAACATCACGAGGAGTATCCATTGAGTATCCGTTATCGGTACCTTAAAAAAATATATATAAGTAATCTGTCAAGCTTCTCACGGAATTATGCGTTAGCTACGCGTCGGATCGTCAATTTCAATAAGTTGAAACTTTCATGCCATATAAATGATGTGAGTATGACAAATATCAAACCGATAGAGATTTTATATAATCATAATTCAAATCTGATATCTAATAAATAAAATAACTTCAAAATTAATGTTAAAATATTGTCAATTGTTTTTTTATTTTTGCAGTGAGTCAGTGTATAATAATTAGAAATTTCAATCTACACTGCAAGTCCCGTATGGTCTAGTGGCTAGGATACCTGGCTTTCACCCAGGAGGCTCGGGTTCGATTCCCGGTACGGGAAGTCTTTTTTTTTCTCATTTCAGCACAAGATTTTATTTATGAAATATTTTCTTAATTTGTTTTTAAATTTCATTGTCTTTTGACTTTTATTTTATTTCCTTATCTGACGACATTTATATGAAGACGTTCAAGTGTTTTTATCTATCTTAGTATGCTTTCTTACAATATTTAAGGAAATTTATTCAAAATAAAAATGGTGTATACAACACACGCACGCAGATTGGAGTCGT